GATGAAACAAGTCATGCTGAACATGATGATTTTTTTTTTTACTCTTAATAAGAGATGTGTGAATAGTGTATGTAAAATATAGTTATTAGGTTGTGAAAATCCACTGTCGTGGGTCATGACACCATATTTAAATTTTAAGAAAACAGCCTTTCTTTTAGGTAGTTCCTGCCTGTAAGATTTCAAACAAATTGTGGAAACTTAAGCTGATGGTTTGCTTGAGTTGCGGACTTCTCCTGGCTCTGCTAAAATAGCTCCCAGAATTCCTGCATTTTGTTTTTCTGAAACTTGCAATCATCCAAAAGAAATTGCTAACTGCAAGAGCAGTTAGCAGTTTGTTTCGATACGGATACAGATGATCAGTCCTTGTGTTTCCTACTGTAACTAAATAAACGGTCCACCTTTTAAACTTCTGTTGGGCAGTTTTGATTTAAATCTATCATTATTAATACCTGCTTGTAATAGAAAAAGTACAGCAATAAACATTGAATTTCAGAATAGAATTCATTTTGCTAGAAATAAGGGACATCATCTGTGTAAATTGCTTCACTTTTAATGTATGATTTAAAGCTTTTGGAAAAGCATTTTTTCTCTAGAAAAACTTCTTTAATACTTACTTTGATGAGATAATTATCAATGGCATAACTTTAAATTATTTATAAATTGTATAGTAATATAATTAAAAGGAATTTGTGTGGAAAGAATTTGAAGCATTTTCATTTAAATTCAGTAGTGCTAACTTGAATATGAGCTTGTAATAATATCTAAAATCTAAACAGTGGCAATTGTTTGCTGCCATAATTCAAAAAGAGACCTAATTTTTCAAAAGTCTATTATGTATTTGTGCAGAAAATAGCTATTTGTCATGAAATATCATCTCACTGACTGACGTCCGTAATCCTCTGGCTTTAATTGTTGCAGGAGCTGCACATGGTACTGTTTGAAACGCAACCGTTGACTCAAAATCTTCCACACTTTTTTTTTTTTTGCGGTATTCTGAACATCTGGAAAACAATATCTTTCATGTGTGTATGTGAAATACTTTTGAAAATATAGCCTTTTCAAAACGAATGAATAAATGAGGGAATTTTTCGACGATTTTTTGTAAAACATTTTAAAATTGAAAATCATTAAAATAATGATAACATATTGATATTATATTTAAGAAATAACACTAAAATGAAACATTTTTATTTTTTGCTGCAATATTATAAAGTGATATTACTTTCCATTTGGGCGACTTGCTTTTCCCATGCAGTTGTCTCAGAATATGCATAATTTTTCTGTGTAAAATGATTTTACACATTTTTCTTCTTCCCCCCCTCAAAATATTTCTGGCATTTCGCTGCTACAGGATTAGTAGGGGTAATATTTCTTTAGGAGTTTAGGCGTTGCTATTTGGAAAGTTTACTGCTATTCCTAGAAAACTACACTATTCCAAAAAAATGTGACAAAATGGAAAATGTCTTCATGGTATTAACACATAATGGGTGTATTTTTTACAGAAAGTTTGTGGTGAATTTCATACTTTTTGGAAGAACAATGGAAACATAATATTTGAATGTGTTTTACTTCTGAAACTAGATATTTTTAACATGTTTTTCTTTCCTTTGTTTTCTCTATTTTTCACTAGACAAATGCGTGGAAAATATCAAAAATGCTTGTAATCTTATCACATGGACAGACATTTATAGAAAGGACTTTTTCAATTTATAAAGAAATTGAAACTGACTATTTAAACAATTCATCTTTTATGTCTTAACTCATCATACACAAGGCTGGCACTAGGGATTTTCTCAACCAGATGCAATCTCTGTGAATACTAAGTTCTACTATATAGTGTTTTCCATGTATCATTTCATATTTATTCTGAATGTTCATATTACTAAAGAAATAAAAATTAGTAGCTTTTTCTGTGCATTTAGTTTTTAAAATAAACAGAAATCTTTAATTAAATCCAAAGATTCTAAAGTGAAGTTGAAATCTATTGAAAAAAGAAACTGAATACGTAAAGAGAAAGAAAATTTTCTTCAAAGATATGTACAGTTGTTATTATATAAATTAACCAGTTGTATTTATAATTTCAGTCTTTACTATAACTTCCCCTTTCGTTTTCCTCGCCAGAATGCAAAATCAGTTAGATAGTTTCTAGCTTTGGTCTGCATGCTTAGTTCCTGTCAGCTCTGATAATCTGCAATTATTCATCTTTGTGAATTTGTTATGATGATAGAGTTAATGAGCTAGCTTAGATTAAAATTAAATTGTGTAGCCTTTGACAAATAGTCTACATTTTTAGTTTGAAATTGACTGTTCCTGTTTAACTGGATCACCATAAGCTGTAGTTGATTTTGCTAGCATATGAACATGCCATTATGTTCTAAGGTCTCTTTTTAAATAAGAGGTTTATTTAAACCTTTATCTGACTTTGTAGTTACTTTAAGACATAGCATTAATTTGCTTCATGTCCGTCAGGGGTTTGGGACTGTTTAACGTTTATCAGATCAAGTAAAACCTCATGGGTACATAGTCAAGAGATTGACAAGTTAGGAGATAAAACTTGCAAAAATCAGTGGGAGTGATGGTTTGCATATTAAAACAAATTTCTAATTATCAGAAAAGATGCTTAAAGAGAAGGAAATTGATATAAATTAGCCAGAATGTCTGGAAAGGCTTCAAATTAAAAAGATACATAAATATTTTGTTGAGTATTGTTGCTACAAAATGTAAATATTTTGTAGCTTTTAATGTGTAATCTTAATATTGCTTAAGAATCAATATCATAAATTACATGTATTTTAAATTGTGATTTTATTACTGCTTTTTTAATAAATATATATATATATTTTTTTTTTAATTTAATAGTGGCCATGTAAATCTATAATGACTAAGGGTATCTATGTAACTAGCTAATTTAATTATTTGTAGCTAAATGACCACCCTTAAAAGTTATCTCTGTATGTTATTGTTATTTGAGTTATCGCCTTTCATTAATCTTTACCCTGGTCACAAGATACAGCACAAAAATATAAAACTTAATTCTATGCATCTAGTGAGACTTAAAACAAAACAACTTATTACCTGGTGCTTTAGTGCCTTATTGGAACCTGAAAATATATTAACCGTAGGTCTACTGGATTACAACCGTAGGTGCATCAGACAGACAGAGCACAATTAACTTTCAAACCTTGCAAAAACCGTACATACATCAGGCTTTTTGTTCTGATCAGCAGGTCTTTCTCTAGAAAAGCAGCAGCGGTGGCAACAGCTAATCTTCTGTTACCAATCATGCTGGTTATAATTTTACTTCTTATTTTAACCTATGCCATTTGACATAAAACCTACCTACTATTTACTAAACCTCTAGGCTGAGGAAGTATGAGACAAAAAAAAAAATCAATATGAAGTTAAATAAGTAAAATCTAAGTAAAGTAGTTAGTAAAATCTAAATAAAATGTCACTAATCTTCTTTCAGATATGTCTGAATATTGTAAGTGTAAAATATTGAATGCAACTTGATAAATTTGATTTTATTCTCAATTATGTTTAATAATAATGCATCCTACTTACGGATCTGTTTTATTCTTAGGATGGTATTATAAAAGTGAAGTTCAGGCATAGATAATATCTTAAACTGTATTTATTCAGCTTCCATTTGCCAATCAGTGCTTAAAAGTAATTTACTCAAGTTTTTCTTCCTTTAGAGGCCATTGAGTATATGATTAGTGCCAAGGAATTATAGCATTATAATTCAATTCGAAAGCATTCCAATACAGATAAAATGTATATGGCCAAGGCCTCAGAGCAGATGTACTTACTTTTTTTGTGCGTGCAGTTATATAATTCTGGAATCTAGGTTGACAATTTAAAATGACTTTCAACTGAAAGTGCTTTCCTTCTGCCAGGGCTAAGGATATTTTTGATTTAAATAATTATTTTTAACATATTTCATCCAAGCCCTTTTCTTTTTTAACTAGGATCTACTATGAACATTGGTAATGTGAAAAGTACTACATGTGATTCGAATACTGTGGTTTCTTTGGCAAAGGAAAAGAGTTCTGAATCAGTACCAACTCAGAAAAAGGAGGAAACGAAACAAGAAGAAAAAAATTTGGAAGATATTTATTTCCCATCTCCCCCCAAAATCAGATTTGAAGGTCTTGATAGTACTAGTCCTAATGCTATTATTCAAAATGATGAACAAGAAGGTGAAAAGAATTCATCTGATACTGAAATGGAAGCTTCTAGTGACAAACTATCTGAAACAGCTGCTGAAGAGGAAGAAATTATAGCATCTGATAATGATGACGTAAATAATGAAATGGTATATATTTTCCACAGAAAGTGTATTTTTTATTTATATTGATACATGTTGTCTTAATTTTAATTTTTATAATCATTCAAAAGTAACTGATAATTATTTTATTAATATAATTTGTAGGTGAATATTGGTCATGGAATTGAAATTAAAGCCAGATATTTGAATAAATGTTTAATATATGGCAAAACTGCAAAAAAACTGACAAGGTGTTTGGTAGATGTGCTTTTCCCAGATGTAAAACTGCTAGCTAATTGTTCTGCATTTGGTCAGAAGTCCAATGTGACAAAATTAACTCGTGCAGCTTTACCCACTCGTAAAGTTAATGCAATTATTGGTAAGTGTATTTGTTGTTCAGGGTAACTTTAAATGCATTTACAGAAAATTATCAGTATTCATTCTATTGGTGATAATGTGCATTTAAATGTTCAAGATAGTTTGTTTTTCAAATTAAATATGTTTTGGCAAAGAAGAAAGAGAGGGGGGATTGATATTAGTTTTAACCCTCTCAGCGTTACGTCCGGAAAATTCCATATAGAAGGTTGCTTTCTACATTCATTATACATGAAAATTTCTGCTAGCTTTTAATGTATCTGATTTCAGTTTGGATGTATATAAGAAAAGGAATCAAGGTACAAAATGAAAGAGTCATTTTTTAATTAAATTCAAGAAAATATCACTTATTCATGACATTTTGAGGAACTTTGAAATTTCAGAGTTAAACTCGTTACGCCAGAGGGTTAAAAAATTCCATTGTTTCAATCATTTTCTGAAATAATTATAGTCATTTTTCTCTTTGCACTCCTTTGATGTTTAGATAACTTTGTCATTTTTTAAAAATGTTGTATGTATGTTAACAAATTAGTGATTAGATTACTAAAGTGACATAACGTGGAAATATATAAAGTATTGTTTATATGTTTCTCATTTATGTCTGTTTTACTTGTACACATTGTTTCACTCCTATTCATATCAATAATATGTAAAATATTTCATTTATATGATACGTAGCTCCAGTTGTACATTGCTAGACAATGGAGTTTGTTAACCTGAAAGGTTTTATAAATAAGTATCCTGTATTATTCGGAAATCATATTTTAGGTTGATCTGGTCACTATTTGCCTTTTGTAAATTTACTTTTAATCTAGTTTGTTACTAAAATACTTAGAAAAAGAATTTTACAAGAGTGACAAATGTAAACTTATATTAATAAAGGGGATTACTTTAATCAACACTGAAAAAAGTAATTTCTGATAAGCAAAAAATAGAAGAGTAGCAGCTTATAAAAATTCTGCATTAAAAAAGTTGTGTAACTAAGGCAGATTGCTAAATTTTCACTCTTTGTGTATTCACGCTATTTTGTATAAAACTGTTGGCTGTGAAAGTTGTGATAAAACTGTGATTAATCATGTTTAGAAATAAAATCTTCTGGGAGTAGGCATTATTTTCAAGGAACATGCAAGCTGTAGTAATGATTTAATGACAATAATATTATTATTTAATAATATGAGTGAGAAAACGTTTCTAGAACATAATTGAAAATAAAATATTGTGAACCTAATTCAGTGTGTAGAACTTGTACTTTGCTTGAGACTCATAATCAAATGATGCTTAAGATGTTACCTGGCATTCTCTCTCCTCCTTTAAATAAAATTTAAAATCTGCTCGTATACTAAAATCATCCAAGTAAAAAAGTGTTATGCATTAAACAGAGCAACTGAAATAAAATTGTGGAAATTCTCATTTTTATAACAAATATTTATATAGTTTGAGTACCTGGAATTTTAAAAATAAATAGCTTACGTTTGCTTAAAATATAGGTGGTATTTCACACAAACTAAAAGCAGGATGATAAAACTAATTTTGTATAATAGCATTGTAGTAAACAAGTAGCCATAAAAAAGTATACTAATGGAGCATGCATACCACATCTTAAACTGAAATTTAGATTGCATGTCTTTGTAATTTATACATCTTTTTTTAATAGTTCCTTGAAAGATATATAAATAGTGCTTTACTGTAGCTTCATTTCTGAAATTTGATCTTTTGAATTGCATTTTTACCCCTCTTCAGATTATGTGCAGAAACGTTTTGCCGATGTCAGCCGAAGTGAAATTGTTTTGTCTATCAATATGAAATGCAAAGAAGCTAGAACTATCAGTGGAAGAGAAGAAGCTGCAGCTAATCTGAGGAAGAATTCAGTAAGTTATTAGATATAATATTTTGAGAACTTTTAAAAAAAGAATTTTACATCATTTTTTCGTTTATAACTATTGTAAGATATAAAAATTCTAAATTTTTAATTTAACTTCAGTGTGTTGTAATTCAAATTGTTAAAAGTGTGGGAAATGCCAGATAGTTGAATATGTAAAAAATACTATTCATGGTAGAAAGCCAAATAAACAGAAAAGGAAATTGCTAATCTAAAATTATTTAGTTTTTTAAAAGTTCCTTTTTACTTCCTTGTAAGAAGTATCTTTTCTCAAGGATCTAATTTATTGTATAAGGTGTTTTCTCCCTCTTTTCTGCTTGCCTTCATGGTGTAATCGGAAGCATATTCGAGAGGTGCGGGGTTTGAGTCCCAGTGGTAATATTATGCGTGTTTCATGTCTCCTGGTGAAAAAAAAAAAACTAGTGTCTCAAGTGGTGCCCAACTAGGTGGTAGAGGATAGTTCATGAGCTCAGAATCTGGCGATTGTGTCACCTAGTCTCCAGATCTTGTACTTTTTACTTCGTTGTATGAAGTAAAAAGGAAGTATTGTAATCGCAAAAAGTTTCAGTTATCATATTTCGACGAATATATCCATTTTGACCGCTATCAAATGCAATTTAACGATGTTTTTGCGTGATATCTGTACGTAAGGACAGAATAAAATACTTTTTTCCATCAAAAAAATTATAAAACTGCTTTAAAATGAATTCTGAAGAGAATTTTTCGTGGTGTCTGTACGTACGTAACGTAACTCAAAAAACGTACGTAACTCAAAAACGAGTAGCCTCAGAACGTTGAAATTTTGTATATAGGACTGCTATAACATGTAGATGTGCACCTTGTATTTTGGTTACAATCGGCCAAACCAACCATATATATATATATATATCCACTCTGTTACATGGCTCAGTGATCTTAGTTTCTTTACTCTTATATGTTTGCAAATTGTGCATTTTTTGCTATGCAAATGATTCAATAATGTTGTTCTTATGTTTCAGTTAAGGTTTTTATGCCTTTAGTAAATCTGCATCCAGTATTTGTAGAGTTATCAACAATTTAAAAGTTGTTTAAGTGCAGCTAAGCCTAATTATTTTTGCAATAGCGGGCATGTTTGTTTACATTTCAAACTTTGCAAAATAGCGGATTTGTTGCCAATCTAGAGAAACTAAGCTTCACAATAACAAAGATAACGCCTTCTTTTATTATTGTGAATTAAATCATGCTTAATCCATTCTGCAATTTATTCAAGAAAATAAGTGTTTAAAATTTACTTTGTAATTTTTAATATATATATTGAGTTTTTGTGTTTTTTTTCCTTCTCAGGAAGTGAGAACTAAACTAATTGAATGTGAAATACTGTTGCTTTTTGTTTTGTTTGCTTAATTTCTTTTATGCATCGTTTTAGATTTACTATAGTATTTGAATAGAACATGTGACAACAATTAGAAAATTCTTCAAATGATATAAATTTACATGCATTCTGAGTTATAATATCAGAGTTGATATTATAATCCTCCTGATTTTGACCGCTCTTCCGCCAACCCGATTTACAATATATTTCTCCCGACTTTTTCTTATTCTTAAAATTTCTCAGGATTTTTATGGAACTTGGCTTAATACTTTGTTATATGAACAAAAAAAAAAGTGATTGTGGACGTCTGAAAGCAATTGAATTTTCTCTAGATTATATCTAAAATAAAACCTTGCGAATCAGATAACTACTGCTTTATGAGTGAGAGCATATATGTATCCAGAAACATCGTTCTCCAGCTCTCTAATAGGCATCAAGCTCCACTGCGTGTCATCTGGCATATATTAGCCAATGAGGACAAAGCAAGCTGTTATTTGGGTGTTCTTTAGTTATTTTGTTCATTTTGTCCTGAGTTGTATGAGTATACGTGCCTTCAAGAAATAGTTTTGGAAATTATCGTCGTTATGTCTGCGAGAAAGGTGAAATACTTGTGTACATTTCAAAATTGTACACAGTTGACTTTCCTTCCATTATTTCCTCAAGGAAATGTAAAATTTGCGATGTGTAATGCCTGTCGTTGTGATTTTTCGATTTTGCATGGTGGAAGGGCGATGTTCTCAAACATGTGCATACATAAAAACACAAGGACAACATGAGTTGTTTTGAAAAAAATGAAAAATTAAATTTTTCTTCGGAAACAAAGGACCAAAAAGTTATTAATGCAGAATGTCTGTTCTCTGTCTTTTTACTGGAGCACAACCTGCCACTGAATGTATTGGATCACGCTGCAGCTTTATTTAGAAAAATGGTTCCCGATAGTGAAATCGCTAAGAAATACTCAAGTGCAAGAACCAAAACAGGTGCAATTGTTAAAGAAATGGGTTTGAAAAATAAATCTTCAGTTATTGATTGCATTAAAACAGCTCCGTTCTGGCTCTCTACGAATGGAAGCAATGATACTGATTCAAAACTGTATCCAATTGTTTCTTTTTTTAATCCAGTCTTCAGAAATTAAGTGCAGTTTACTTTCTGTCCCCACTTTAGAAGGACATTTGACAGGCTTTAATATAGCACAGCAAATTATTAAAAGTTTAAAAGAAAATGCAGTCCCTCTGGGTAATTGCTTAGCACTTGGTGCCGATAATGCACCAGTATTGGTAGGCTTGAAGGCTGCTGTTGCAGTCATCTTAAGAAAGGAAAATTCAGATTTGCAGATTATGAGGTGCACCTGTCACCTCTTAAATTTAGCAGCTGAAAAAGCGGCAGTTTCTTTACCAATAAATGTGGATGAACACATTGTTGATATTTATTATTATCTTGAAAGAAGTTCTAAAAGGAAGGAAAAATTGAAACAGTTCCAATAGCTGCGTAACATCAGTTTACAATTAGAAAACTTGGATGAAGTTATAAAATCAACTAAGATTGACACACAGTGGAGTTTAATTGGAAAACTGAAAGGTGCTGATAGAATTTTAAAATATAGTGAACTGTCTAGAATTATGTTGGCCATCTTGACTGTTCCCCATAGTAATGCAGAATATGAGACGATTTTCAGTGTTGTTGTGAAACTGAGGACTAAATTTAGATTAATAATTAGTGATGACACATTGGAAAAACTTTTATTAGCGATTGCTATGGCAATTGCTATGAACAAAATTATGAAGCTTCTTTCTTAAAGAAAGCAAAATCTGCCACTGTTTATAACATTTGTCCGAAAACTGATTAAAGTGTCTTTTTTTTTTGTTTTGTTTTGTTTTCTTAAATGATGCAAGTAATAAAAATGTTTTTTATGTCTAAGGTATTTTTATGTTGCTTGCATTTAAGAATTAGTTACTATTTAAAGTTAATTAATTATTAAAAACTATATTTTTATCATTTAAAAAGTCTTTTTAACATTGTGAAAAATCTCCTGATTTTTGAGTGTCAGGTTGGCAAGTATGTAATATGAACGAAATGTAATGCTGTTAAGTGAACCTAGCACCAGAATGTCGCTGTGGTAAACAAATATAGTGAATTTTAAAGAGTGCATTTAATCTATTGTGGTTTATGCACTATCGACGAAGTAGATTTAATTCAATTCAATAAGTTTAAATTAAATGCAAGAAAAATGCATATAATTTAATATTCCGTACAAGGAAGTCATGTGATGTACACATCGGATTTTTTTGTGTGTGTGTTCATTTGTTAATTTATCGGTGCTGAATTTGGTTCATGCTGCCTCGCTTAAGATAAATATATATATATATATGTATTTCATAAAACATCTCCATTTTCTGTTTATAGAGGAAGCTTGTATTTACATATATACTGCTTACAGCAGTTTAATATGCATTAAAAAGTTTTATATTACATTATTTTGCATAATACCAACATTTCTCAATCTATGAACCTCCTAAATTTCAAAAACAAAAAGACAAATAAATAAATAAAATTAAATTAAAATTGACTACCTATAGAACACTACCGAAAATATAAGTTTAGAAATTACATATGGGAATTGTCTATTTTATTAAATTTATTATTGCTTACCCTACGGAAGAGGAATTTAAAGCACTTACTGTGTTTTTCTTATTGGCATACATCCCAACATAGAATAGCTGTACAATAAATCAGCAGGCTAATCCATTTCATTAACGTAAGCACCAATATTTGTTGAATTTTAGTTAATATAAAGATTATCCTATTTGGATCAAATCTTGAAACTGATTCTTGATCTTCATTTATAGATCTCTCTCTCCTCTTGATAAAAGATTTTTATAAGACACATATGTATTTTTAATGCCAGTAAAATGCAAAATTTTTTATGCATTTTGTTTAATTCAGTTGCTGTCACAAATACTTGTTTAATGGTCAAGTTAATTATTGTAGAGTTTTGAGTTATTGTACAAAATGTGGCCTTTTTTATTTATTTTTTTAATTCAGTTGCTGTCACAAATACTTGTTTAATTGTCAATTGTTGCAGAGTTTTGAGTTATTGCACAGGATAAGAAATAGCCATTGAAATGAAAGTGTGAAATTTCTGGCAGTTTTTCAATAATGTGTTCTTAAATAATACCATTTTAATTAAATGCCCTGAAGAGTGAAAAATAATTGTTTAGTTGTTATAATGTTCTTTGTAATAAGTGACTAAAAATAAAATCATGGTGTAATAAGTGAGTAAAAATAAAATCATGGAGCTTCATAATTGTATTAGGTATTGATATAACTTTGAAGATCAGTGGAAATGATAGTGTGGAAGTAACATATCTAGTGATGATTTTAATCAATTAACTTGAATTTTGATTTAAAATTAACCATTGTTTGCAACTTTGTGATTATATTTTATATCATTGTAGCTAGTATTTTTTATTTATTTTTTAACTTTTTAGTGCATTTAATTAAAACCATGTAATTTAAAAATGCTTTTTACATGATTTATTTATGTGTATATAACATGTGAGTAAATAAAGAAAAATGGTTAAAAAGGCTATGGTATTCTGTTTTTCTACTACTGTATTGAAAATCTGAGATGTATAGCAATATGCGGCATAAAACTTGAAAATAAAATAATTTATTTTCTTTACTGACTTCAATGTATTGACATCACCAATGGCCGAGTGGTTAAGACTGTCGAATACTGGGTGTTCGACCTGTGGTCAATCCAAGGTGAGCAGGCTGACCACATGGTTGGCTTTAATGGTTTTCCCTGTGTGCAAACGTGGATGTGAGCCAGCTTCCCTTAGAAAGTCCCCGCAAAGCAATCCTCTTCTTAAACAGATAGCTTTTGCATGCTTTACCATATTTGGCTAACTTAGTATATAGTTCTCTGTATTGACACTTTGAGGGCGGAAAAGGAGCTCTTTTGCTTTTAAGAATCTGACAATCTAATTAATTTTTTTTAAATTAGTGCATATTTATAGCAATACCTCTGTTTATACTATATTTATACAATATTTATTTATAGCAATTTTTTGTTTATGAAGAATAAGCTTCTGATTTTTTTAAATAATTTATTGCATATTTTGTATATGTAAAATGCATAAAAATTTTTTATTTTAGCTTTATTCCTGTTTTTGAGATTTTCAACATTGTTATCTTATGCATATTTGCAGCTCAAAAGATTACTCACCAAAGAAGAAGAAGAATTAGACAAAGATGCAAGCACTTCAAATGAGGACTCTGTAAAAACAAAGAATCCTGTAACTGTTTCTCTTTTAACAAAAAAGAAGAATCCTAATGTTGTTTGTGTTCAGAGTTCCAATAAAAACATAAATACAGCAAAGCCAAATATTATGCGGTGCAATACACAGATTCTTATAAGGCCAAAACCTGTAGCTACTAGTGATGGAACAGCAGCAGTAATCTCGCCTATAACATCAGTATCTAAAAAACCAGAAACAGTTCGAACAATCTTAAGTGCAGGTCGACCATTTGGTAATCTTTCAAAAGATGGAACTAAAATTGTCATGCCTCTAGAAATTCTAAAAGCAGCATCTGGTGCAACTTCGCAAACTAACACAACTGTATCTTTGCCTTCTCCAAGACCCTACATTATACTTGGATCATCAGTGTCTCCTGTAAAGCAAACCTCCTCTGTAATACAGGTAATGAACTCTTAATGTTTAGTTGTGTTCATTTAAAACAGGGTCAGTTCCCTATTAACCTGGGTAATACTGGAATAGATATCCACTTTTAATTCAGAATCATAGGTAATCCAAAGGGCAGTTAAGAAATGTGCAGGAAACTGTTTACAATTACGGTGTATTTTCAAACAGCTTAAACTGAATAAGTTTATTTGTTACACAGAGGTTCAGTCACTATTAAAAAAAGAAAAGAAAAAAAAGGAACAAAACATTAGAAAGGAAGGAATTAAGTTTTAAAATGGCAATGAAGAACAATATTTAGAAGAGAACATGAGCAATATCAAATTTGAATGTAAAAAGTGGGTTAGAATTTTTTTTTTTTTTTTTTAATCATTGATCATATTTCTCTAAGGATATAACAATGTTTTCATGTTTGAGGTTGTATACTGTTAAATTAGGTATTATGTATAAAAACATTTTCCAAATTCTGTCTCATCTTATGCTGCTACACAGTTTTACATTACTCTGTTGTTTGTGATAGTAAAACAGACTAGGTAATCATGAATTAACTGTAAAGGTAAAAAGTCCTAATATTATACGAGTCTTTAAATATTATTGTGTTTTTCTTTTCTTCTTTACATACGTTATGGTAAGGGTTCGTGTGGATTTGGAGGGAATAACAACAATAGCACTTGATGAAGTATCGAAACTCACTTTATTGGCCAGTATTATTCAAGACAGCTCCAAAATCACATTTTTACAGTCATCAAAGAATTACTATAAACTCGCTGAAACGATCAGCAGCACAGCACAGCCTTCAGGCTATAACGGTGGAGACAGCTTCACTGCACAGCTCCCGACTCTGTTCGGTTGTTCTCGGAACTCCACGTACTCTCAAGACTCTCCACGTTACAACTCATGATACACTAGAGCAGGAGTGGCCAACTTTTTTATATATAAGATCTACTTTTTATCTTAAAAGTATGTCGCGACTTGTTGTCATAGGCGTAGTCTAAGGGGGGAGAAGGGTGCAAAATACATACAATGTTTATACTGTTTATACACTGTGTTCAATATAAGGCACATTCCAGCGAGGTATGGGTAAGTAAGTAAAATATATGTTTTTTTTTTTTTTTTTTAATTACTTATTACGTTTACGAGATATAGGCTCATGGAGAAAATTAATTTCCAGACACAAAATTTAATAGCAGCATTCCGTACATGCAGTACCTAAAAAATTCGATTTTCCTACACTTTTTCAAGATAGATTTTTACTAACTTAAAATGCAATTTAATCTTTTTATCTGTTGCCATGTATAAGTTGTTATACTATTCGTTCGTTAATATGAAAAAGTTGTTATAAAAATGTGCAGTATGGCTGATAATTTGATTTCAATCTTTCACTTTCGCATTTTTTTGGGCCAGGAGAATTTATCATCATGAAAGAATAACTTTTTGCTAATCTATCAATAGCTCGCTGAGCATGTTTATCTACCTACGTAAAAAAAACAGCAACAATAATTATTTAAAGATCCCAAAAACTCATGTCAAAGGAAAAAAAGAACATGATAATTATTAACAATATTTATTAGTTCAAAGTAGCTACAGATAAAGAAAGATTTAGAATTTACTTTGTTGCCTTAAAATCAATAGGAAGACTGAGTTTGCATGTCCCTAACCAAGGAATCATAATTATGTGTATATCTTGACAAAGATAATAATGATAATGAATCTTCAGTATGGGAATCAGTCATGACAGAACGTAGTTTAGTCTTTGTTAGTTTTGAGTATGAAAATGTCGATTCACATAAGTATGTATTCTTTATGTAGATCTGAAACAAGAATAGATATATTCGCTACATTTGGTGATTCTGGGATATTTTTCTCGGTTGATATATTTCCAAAGATCTTCAAATTTTTGAGTCTTTTGATCCATATGAAATATGTCTGAAATTTTTTGGATAATGCGTTTCACACTTAAATCTGTTTTAAAAGGAAAAGATATGAATTCCACAATTTCTTTAATTTTTCTAAATCCGTGAATCTTTTTTGCTGGAATCTTATCTCAAAATCTTCAATTACTTTTTGGATTTCCGCGGCATATTTATCGATCTCGTAGTTAATATTTTTATGTTTTTATAGGTTATTCACCATATTTGGAAAATGATTCAGATTATTTTGTTGTAGATCTTCAATTAGAAAAATTAATTTTGTTTTATATGTGTCTATGCAGCTGATCATATCAATTACTATTTCATTTTTATGCTGTAATTCTAAATTTATATGACTTAATATTGAAGTAAAATAAAATCAGTAAGAAATGCTAAGTCAATAAGCCAAGTTTCATCATTTAAATTTTCACAGTTTCCATCTTGTTCATGAAGAAAGTCTATACTTTCAGGCAATAAATCACGAATCGCTGCAAAAATTTACTTCTGCTTAGTCATCTCACATCGATATGTAGTAATAATTCAGGTTGGCCTTCATTGAGCTGGAGTTGGAAGAGACGCCTTTTGAAAAAACTTCCTCGAATTGAATTAACAATTTTAAATGCTATGTCCATTACCTCTTTTGTGTTTAGTCTCTTGATAGCTGACACTTGCTGGTGAATTATACAGCGTTAGCTTGAAAAGGCAGGGAATTCATCTTCCTTTTGACATAGGGCTATAAATCCATTTATGCTACCTATCACTGCAGCTGTGCCATCTGTTGTTATTGAAATTAATTTAAAAAGTGGTACTTTCAAATCATTGAGCAAGTTTTTAAAGGCTTTGAATATGTCTACACCTCTCGTCCTTTCCTTCAAAGAAATCATACCCAACAATTCTTCTTTAGATGTAAAATCCTTAAAAACCATACGAACGAAAACAAGTAATTGTGCCGTATCACATATCTGTCGATTCATCACACTGAAGGAAAGACAAGAACATCTATTAATATCATTATATAACTGTTCTTTTATATTCTCACTCATCCTTTCAATCCGTTTCATAACTGTTTTTCGAGACAATTGTAGATCTTGAATTGCAGCAGCAGTTTTACTCTTGTTCTTAAAATCATTAAAAAGTGAAACATCTGACATTTCTAAAAAAATTTCCTTTACAAATTTACTGTCAGAAAATGGTTTACATTTTTTTGCTAAGAGATAGCTTACTTTGAATGGTGCTGTAGTTTCTGCTTGTGACTTTTTAAAAATGGTTTGTTGATTCGTTAATTGAGTTTTAAGATCCCTAACTTTATGTTTTCTCAGTTCAAAATTTGGTGGATAATCTGTTTGATACTTGTTATGTAAAGCTAAAAAATGTCTCTCCATATTAGATATATTAAACAACATCATTTGTCATTCAACACTATAAAAAAGTAATCAAGTTCCCATTTTTCATTGAGGTGATTAGTTTTCGATTTCTTCAGTTTACTACTCATGTTCATGGGTGTACTAGAATACAAAGAAATATGACAATTTAAAGAATAAATATTGCATTAAATATTTTTCTAGAAAATTCAAAACTCATGAACTGCGGCTATTATCTCTACTACATTGAGAGAAATAATAACAATACTGCATACTACGATTGGACACAGCAATAAAAGTGTATTAAAATCTAATAACGATATATTCAAATTTACAAGAAACATGTTAAAGTTAAAATATATTTATTACGATTTAATACTGAAATCTTAATCAGTGTAATAATTGCAGTTTAGAGATCTGTTGCCAAGAATGCTCACTTGTAAATAGATATGTAAAAAAAGCAATTTGATGATTCGTGAATAGAATCCGATCCTTTACAAGCAAAAGTATCCAGATTTAGAACATTTGGTGATTATCCATTTTTGGTGAACATTTGGTGAAGTCCTTGTCTGCATAACCTGCACTATGAGGCACACACCCAGTTTGTGAAGTGTGTGAATTTTCTTCCAATACTGGAGCACACTGCTTAAGCTGTACATCAGCTTCTCTAATCTCTGCATCACATGCATTTTCAGATGGTTCAACCTTTGATGCCTGCGACTTTGTAACTTCACTATCAGTTTCTACCAACTGAACTGTCGCATTTTCACGTTCTTCCATTTGTACTTCAGGCCCATGAGAATCAGGAACCTCTTTCCTGTCTTTCAATTCTTCATCTTTTCAATCTCTGTCTTTAATCTCGTTAGATGTTTCACCTTTCATTTCTTGTTCTTTCTCAGACACTTGACCAGTTACTTTCTTCACTTCTTCATCCTTTGATTCTTCAGATGCCACTTCTGTAATTTCTACATCTTCTTTTATGGCTCCAGTTTCTTATGTGAGCTTCATTTCCATCTGTTGGAGTTGCTCTCGCAGCTTTTCTTGGCCTGCTTTTATTTCTTCTCGTCCGGCTTTCATCTCTTCATATCTAGCTTTTATCTCATCATATCCAGCTTTCGTCTCTTCGCGTACGACTTTCATCTCTTCAGTCTGGCTTTTAAAACTGTTAAGAAGTTCGTGAACTTCATATCCTCCACCATGGCCTTTTTTTTTCTGTAGACAGGTCACTGGCATCCCCTTGCAAACCCCCATTCCTGATGCCAGTTGTTATGTTATTTTTCTTCTTTTCTCGTTTATACGAAGTTTGTATGGATTTGGAGAGAATTATGATGATTGCACTTCATGAAGTATTGAAACACACTTTATTGGCCAGTATTTCAAGACAGCTTCAAAATCACGCTTTTACAGTTGTCAAAGAACTACTATAAACTCACTGAAACAATCAGCAGCACAGCCTTCAGGTGGTCAGGCTATAACGGTGGAGACAACTTCACTGCAAAGCACCAGAGTACAGCTCCCGACTCTGCTCGGTTTTTCTCAGAACTCCACATACTCTCGAGTCTCTCCACGCTACAACTCGCAATGCACTCGATGATAACTAGAGTACAGCTCCCGACTCCTCGGTTCAGTCGTTCCCAGAGTTCAACACACTCTAAGATCAAACTCTATGATGCACTAACTTGCGATTCACCAAGAGATTCTTTTGGTGCACTCGATGACCAATTCAGCACTCACTGACTGACTATCAACTCGATGGACTCTCACGAACTGACTGCCTGCATACCAGCAGGGTTTATATAGCTTTTGGCTTGTCTTCAAGAAGATTCTGGGCTTTAACCAGTAAGAATTCATTCCAGAAGGTTCTCCATCTGTCTATGGCATGTCGCCAAATGTGGCACCCTGCCGTGCCTTGCCATTTTCTGGCAACCCTAAACCTTCTTTGCAGGGAAGCTATCTTACCGTGCCTGGACATCTCGTAACAATATTATAAAAAACGTAATATAGACGGACACAAAAACAGTGTCTAATAAATTAAGTTAAATAAGCAGTGCTTTTTTATCATAACATACGGAGTGCTTCTGAATCAAATTCCCATTATGCTGAAAGTGAAAGTCTCCACAGCGGAAAAATCAAATTTAAAATTAATAATTAGTGTAATTGTTTAATGATGGACTTAAATCATTTTTATTCATTTCAGTTTACAACTTACGAAATAAAAAGCAACAAAGTTTAGAAAGTATATAATATTTCTAATGTTAGTCTTTCAGAAGAACAAGAGAGAATTCTAAAATATAATTTTAACTTCTCACAAACCTGTAAAACCTCGATTCCAAAGATTTTGGCTCCTATCAAAAAAGCTTTCAAGTTCAGTAAAGTTTCAGATTCACAGAAAGAAATGATTAGGCATCTTATCGCTCATAATGTGAAATTCAATAATAAACCTTTGAAACCAAATCTAACTGCGAGAGAAAGAGCTACAATGTGCGAAATTCATTCTAACCCGGATATTATCATTTCAAAGGCCGACAAAGGTGGCCAGATAGTCGTCATGGATAAGAACACTTACATCAATGGTGTCACTAAACTCTTAAATGAAGGACCATATAATACGATCCCTAAAGACCCTTCACCTTCGGACTTGTCAAAAATAAAACTGCAATCAAATCTTCACAAATCATTTCAAGCAACTTAAAACATTCACTTATCCCATCTGTTGTGAATTGTGCCAGATCATATGCTCTTCCCAAAATTCATAAAAGTGGTATTCCTTTGCGCCCTATTGTATCAAATTTAGGTACTGCCTCGTATCCTTTAGCTAAATATTTAGTTTCTAGATTTTCAACTCTATTAGACAATAACATTTACACCATAAAAATTCCATAGAGTTTGTAAAAAAGGTTAAAAACATTTCTCCTAGAAATTTACTCATGGTTTCTTTTGATGTAAAATCATTATTCACCAATGTTCCAGTGGAAGGTGCATTAAGACGTCTAGAAACCAAACTTTGCGAATTTCATTTCTCTTGCATCGAAATTGATGAGCTAATTTTTCTCACTCAACTATGTTTGAAACAAACACATTTTGTTTTCCAAAATAAATATTACAAGCAAACTGAGGGATTAGCCATGGGAAGCCCACTCAGTCCCATCCTGGCTGATATCTACATGTATTATTATGAATCAAAATTGTTTGAAACTTTAAACTTCCCGGCATGGTTCCGCCACGTAGACGATACTTTTACTCTAATTTGAAGGTAATAAAGATGATTTAAATAAAGTTCTTTCAACAATGAATTCTATTGATCCTTGCTATTCAGTTCACTTTTGAACTTGAGAGACTTGCAATTCTCTTCCTGTTTTCTCGACATTTCTGGTTCACATGTAACACATCCAACTTCAGTACTACGGTTTACCATAAACCTTCATCGGTTTGCCTTCCACCACACTTTAAATCATGTCATCCGACTAAACAAAAGTTTGCTTCATTTTATTCCCATGCTTTCCGTGCTCTTCAAGTTTGCTCTTGAATCATTTTAACTCTTTTAATCATTTAGGAACCCTCCTTTTCCTGTTATTATCTTGTTTTGCTAATCCTGTGAAGATTTTAATTTCTAATTCTTCTTCATTTTCTAGTTTTTCGATATCACTATCCAACTAATTGAGTAAATCTCGTTTAACTATTAATTGTTTAAGAAGTTCATCTAACGATTCAGAAACTGATAGGGGATCTTGTAAAGAATTTTCGATTTTTTTAAACAGTGTAGTTATGAAAGAACGTATTGTCGTCCTTTTCTTTTTAAGAGATATAAATGTATGTTTCATAATTTAAAAAAAAAAAAAAAAATTTCAAGTTTTCCCCGTTTTATTGATATTTTGTTTTAATAATATATTTAATAATGTAATATTTTAATAGTATTATATATTAAAGTTTCATTCTCTTTATTACAGCCACTTACTGTCTCTTCACCAAGTGTTGTAAAGAAATGAGTCAAAAAATTTTTATAGCAGTTGTATAACATCATCTTCATACTAAAAATAATTTATTGTTGTTCCCCCCCTCATTTAAAATGAACTGGGATGAGATTTGGGAAGAATTATGGAAAATTCCTTCCCAGTGACTTAAAAACTTAGGGGGGATATGTATATTTTCTAAAAATGTTATTTTGTTTCTTAATAAATGAATGGAAAACTTTGTAAATACCAAAGCTGTATTTGATTATGAAACTCGTGAAATTTATTATACAATTTATCATTATTATAATGCAATGTGTAACAAAAAGTGAAGTATTTGAAATTCATTTGCTAAAAGTTTTCACTCTGAACTGAACAATGATTTAGCAATGTAATACATTTGCATTTATAAGAAACCATTTTATATGATCAAATTCTGAGAAAGAATTTTGTTTGTTAAAATTTGTTTTAGTTTGCTCATGTAAATATGTTGAATAAATTTCATCAATCATATTTTATGCATTATATTGAAACATTTTATGTCATGATAGAATTTTGTATATGTTTGCATGTATTAAAAAAATTAATGATCCTTTAAAAACAGGAAATAAACACTTGTTTTTCAAAGTCAAATTTAATCAGCATTTAAAGGTGTATTTATTTCCGCTCGAAATTCAATATCTGTAAGCATTTACCTTATATATATTTTTTTATTATTATTATAAAACATGCTTTTTCCCATTTGCACAAAAGGGTCTGTATGCAAAAGCAAAATTTGAGTGCCATGTGCAAATCATACGGAAGATGGAGTTTACGAGTTATTCCACAAACACAAATACTTGTATGTATATATATGCACACACACATAAGTGTTTCTGATATATATATTAAATAAAATCTGTGCCATTTATAAATTAAGGAAGCAAGAGCTATGAAGTAGCAGAATTTAAAATGATAATGATTAAAAAAATTGTCTAACAAAAATGCATTAGTAATTTCTACTACATAATAAAAATGTATCTTGAAGAGCGTGCTGCAAAAAAATAATTGCATGTAATAATTATTACTGCCAAATAAGAATTTGTATTTTCTGTTAAAATAGTTTAACTATGTTCTTTGGTTAGAATACCTTATTATTTTAATGTTTACCATAAAAATTCCACTGCCCCCTCTCTCTCTTTCTGTAGACGTATTTTGATGACATCCTCTAGCTGACTTCTTGAAACAGAACTGGAAGTAAATAATGGTTCTAATCTGGTAGCATGATAGTTCTATTTCAGACACCTTGCACTTAATGATAACAATATTTTTTTACAAATTTCACAACAGTGTTGTTCTAAAGCAAGTCTCTTTCTTCCTAATGCCAAAAATTATTTGACAGTTCACATTGGCGTGTTTAATATAATTAAACACACCAAGATGAAACTCTTTGTGCAGATGATATTTATTCACCTTTCATTCTTAGCAATTCATTGCACTCTCATGTGTCAAACTTCTTTGGCTTATATATCATAAACCTTGCAAGAGCGCTATCCCAACCAAGCTAAACGCAAGGATCAACATAGCAATAGACTAGCTTGAGTTTGTGTCATGTATAGTTTTATTCATTTCATTCTATCTTACGAAAAATCCTTAATGCTGTTCCATATTTGTGAAATTGATTAATATAAGCACTTAATAGCAACGTTTGATTTTTCTTAGTTGATGGAACAACATCTCAATTTTAATTATAATTTGAAAAATTATCATATTATAAAATTTTTTGCCAGAAGAAAACTCGCAGATTTCAGATTTAAACACTCCTTAATTTAGCTTCGATTAAAAACTCTCGAAAGATGTATTCTCGCACTGACATTTTTCATTTTGCATAAAATCCAAAACAGAACAAAAACAAAACTATGACGTATTTATGCCATTATTATTGTATCATCATTCAGTTCTCTTTCATATTATAAGAGTGCTATTCTTGTCCAATTAACACATAAAATAATCAGTTATCTTCCATTTAAAAAGAGCGTGATTCTTGCCAAAATGGCACGTATAAAAATAATATTGTTCCCTAATATTTTGCAGCAAGTTTAACACCTGAACCATAGTCCAGTTGATAAAGTGATACATTTTCTTTCCAGAATGTGCATATTATCATTTGCATCAAATATAAATCGGAACAATAGCAATAAAATCCTATAAAAACTGCCTGTCAAATTTGTTTAGAAGACATTATATTTTGGACAACATAATGAAACTACTTCAATATTTTGAATACAGCACATAAAAAAGAAAGGAATTCATTGTAGGGCAGTAATTTATGCATTAATAAAATTAAATGCTTTTTTAAAATACATTTTTAAAAAGTTTTAGTTTTTGTAGGCAAAATGCACTAACCTTTTTGTGTCTGAATGCAGTCGCCTTAAATCATATCTATCAAAAACTAAATAACATGGTTTTAACATGATTAAATTATAATTATGGTATTCTTTAGTTGTGTTATTAAAATTACAGAAAACACTAATATGCATAATTTTAATAAATTCAGTGTAATCCACCCATTTAAGTCACCCTAAAGCTTTGTTCACATGGTAGTTTTAACATCTTAAGATGTATAAGCCGAGCTTTGTTGCTAAGTGACCAGACCTCACTACGTTCACAAAAACTGGTTTAAAGATTTTACTGTAAAACTAACTTTTCAATTTTATGCCAAGTTAGTATAAAAACATCAATCACAGTGAAGCTAACATCTAATTGACGGTTTCACCGAGCAAGCTGCACATTTACGCATCGGCAACCTTTCCTTCTCTAACTGGCTATGGCTTAAATCATGTTAAATATATGTGAATGAACTCAAGACATTAACAAAGCATAATCAATCACTTCTGCAGACTGTTTCCTCTTACAAGATGTACAACAACGATTCTCAACCGATGTTATGCAAAAAAGCAAAGTATTTTTAACTATTAAATTCAAAAATTAAATACCCTAACATCCTGCTTAAGTTTTTTTCTCTAACACTCGTAAATTTATGCGATGTGAACTGTGTTCAAGGTCAGTAGCTGCTCATAGACTTTAGCAAATAATCCATTTTTATTTTCACAAATATTCTTTTAACCATGGACAACAAAATTTGTTATACATTATGTTTTTTAAAAGGAGTAATAGAAGTGGATGTTGTACTTAATAGGAAATAAAGATAGGTCCCTATAAAAAGATGATTTTATATCATTAATACTTTTAGAGTTGTCGATTTATTAGCATGTCTACATTTTATGTTGTCACGATTTCACATTCATCCTGATATGATCCTCTTTCTCAATTAGAATATTTTTTAAAGTCGATTTGCTGTCTCTAACAACAGGTATTTTGTCTTCTTGTTGCTTTGTATTCTTTACTTTTCTACACAATTTGAGAATATTGTCATTTCTTTTTGAAGAACTAGTAATATATTGTGCATTTATATATTTGTGAAAAAATAATGAAACAATCTTAGGTTTTCCAAAAGGGAAAAATGGCTAAAATCACAGGTGATGAATCCAGGACAACCTATTAGCGCTAAGAATATTGAAAAGAAAAATTATTTATTGAAAAAATACTATAATGAAAGTTGCGTATCATTTCGGTTTGCTTGAAATGGACCTTCAACCTCAATGCGTTGTCTTCGGGGAACTATTATTCAATCAAAGTGTAAAACCATCGTTCCTTAAAAGATGTCGTGAATCTAAGCATGAAAATTTAAAGGATAAATCTGAAGAATATTTTAAGAGGAAATTATCAAAGTTAAAAAATAGTAAGCAAGTTTTGTTACTTCAAGTGAAAAAGTTTTGGAAGGTAGTTACCCAGGAAGCCTAAGAACTGCCGAGACTGGACAGACTCACACCATTGGAGAAAACCTTATATTACCCAGCAGGTAAAAATATTGTTTTAACATTATTAAACGAAAAAGGCGGCTAATGAAATTAACAGTAATCCATTATCAAATGATACAATACAACAAATTCATGAAATAGCAAATTCCATAAAAGGGACGCGTATTCAAAAAATAAAACACAGTGAGTATTTCCATTGCACTTGGATGAAAATACTGATATAATGAACTTTCTTCAATGATTAGTTTACATACATTTCCAAGAAGATAAATGAATTGCCAAAGAGTATTTATTTGTGAATCTCTTCATGATAGAGCAACTGCAAACGAAATTTTCAAAGTAATTGACAATTTTACATCTTAGAAGGATATTCCTTGGAATAAGTGCAGTGAGGAGCTCGGGCTTTAACAGGAAAACATTCCGAGTTATTTCTCAAATAAAGAAAGTCACACCTGAAACTAAATTACTCACTACTCCATTCATTATGAAGCTTTAGTAGCCAAAACAATTCCCGAAAACCAGAAAATCGTTTTGAATCAAGCTGTGAAAATTGTTAATTTTATTAAAAGCCCAGCTTTAAATTCAAGAATATTTATGGTCTTATGTCAAAAGATGGGCAGCAAACACGAAATACTTTTGTTACATTCCGAAGTAAGGTGGTTATCCAGAGGCGAAATTTTAAATCATCTTTTTGAACTTCGATCAGAAATTTAAATTTTCTTTTATGATTCAAAATTTGAATTGCAAAAAAATTTAGTGATTTGGCACGTTTAGCATATTTAGCTGGTATTTTTAGAAATATAATGATTTAAATTTAGGATTAGAAGCACAAAGCATTAATTTGTTTACCATTACAGATAAAATAAATGCAATGATAAAAAAGAAAACTCAAGCTACTAATCAAAGAATTGAATAATAATATTTTAAGCTTTTTACCACAATTCAAGTTTTCTAACCGAAAATAGTTTGAAAATAAAAGAAGAGTTAGTATCTAACGTTAAAAATCATTGTTTTTCATTAGTAAATAATTTCAACATATATTTTCCCAAAGATTATGAAAAAGGAAATTGGATTAGAAATGCATTTTGTTCAAATGTACCTGAAATTTTATCTCATAAAGAAAAAGAACAATTGATAGAAATTTCCTAGAACTGAACTCTTAACTGAAGATTTCAAAAATAATACACTTGTTAACTTTTGGCTGAAGAGAAAAAAAAATAATATAAAGGCATTTGAAATAAAGCTATTAAATTTTTAATGGTCTTTTGTGCAACCTATTTATCTGAACACAGATTTTCTTCCATGTTATACTTGAAAAATAAATACAGAACAAAATTAAAAGTGGACCTAATTTATGGTTAAAACTAAGTGAAATAAGACCAGACAAAGAAATTTATCTCTCTCAAACAAGCCAAAATTTTGCACTAAATTTTAGAATTAAAGTGTTATAACTTTGATAAATAAAATGAGAATTAATTTTTAATCTAATGTTTTTTATGTGTGCATATTTAATACAAATAGCCAACAAGTTGTGCAAATGGCAAAATACTTTTTATACATATTTCTATTGAAAAATAATCATTGTAAAATGTCATGGTGATACTAAAGTTTTTTAATTTCTGGTTACATGGTACGCATTAGCCAAAAGGTTGAGAACCGCTGACATACAATTTTGCTTTTTTAACTTCTGGCATATATTTGCTGCAAGTCTTGATAAGGACTTTTTGCTGACAACAGACATAAAGACCATTTTGATAAGGATAATAGTTTCCA